AAATAACCATCATTTGAATTTCGACATTTTTCGAGAATATTTTTAGCAGTTTTAAGAATTTCAAATAGGAAGAGAAAAAGTTATGGATAATAAATTTCTTTAGAAAACTTGTTTTATAATTTCATTCTTAAAAAGAGAAGTTTTCCCCGATATTAAAAACGACGACGATTTTAACTTTGTGGTGAAATATTAAGACATCAACTTGAAATTTAAATAAATCAATAAAGATTAAATAGACGATTAGAACTTCAGCAGAAAGTTTTAGGTCATGGTCTGCCATCTCATATTCAAATCGCAGCCTACATCAAAGATATCAATTGGAGATAAACAGAGATAAATCACCTAGGATATTTTTAGATAATATCTTAAATATATATATATTCTTGTAAAATGTAAATGTGAATTGTTTTGAACACATAATAATTAGGAAATTATGTTTTCCATTAAATACTTTGATAGTTTAGAAAATAGGTCAGTTGATATTAATCAGTTTCTATTTATTTACGTTAAAATAAAAACATTTTTTATATTGAAAATATATCATTTTATTTATAGCAGAACATTCAAAAATTATTTTTATTATAAAAATGTTCGGAATTTCTGAGAATTTTATCAAGTTAGAACGTAGAATGTTTTTCTGGAATATCATTTTTATGCTGATATTGATATATTCCAAACGATTTAAACATTGTTATATCATCAAATTAATATAATAAATATTATAAATATTTTATCTTATTCCTTTATTACTGTGTAACGTTCAAATTAGAAAGAATGTTACTTTATATTTTTAGATGAATCTAAAACTTTGATTATAAAATCTTCTTCAAATAAATTCTAGAATTTAGGATTGCTTAATTAAGAATTTTGAAACAGCTGCAGACAGTTTTGGTTATAAATATGCATTTTGGCATATGCCAAGATCTTGTGAAGAATCTCAATAATTAAGTTTTTATTAAAACCTGCTCTTCTTTTCGACACCAATTCGAGTTCGTAAACCGTTCACTTGTTTGAATAACTCTAGAATATTTACTTTAATAATACTTAATAACGTATAATTTAAAGATAAATTGGAATTCTAAAATACAAATAAACTTAATAAATAACTAATAAGCTATTTATTTATTAATAATTAACAGTACATGAAGAAAAATAGGTGGAGTTGTCAAACCTGAATATCAATCAACAGGCAGTTAGGAACTTATCAACAAAAATTTATTGGAATCAATTTACACTTTGTATGCTATGTTAGATCTAATATAACGTATGATCGGGTATTAATAAAAATCCATATTTTATGAGGGTTATTTTTAAATGCTAATTATCTCTGTAACCTTAAAGATATCGATTATTAGCCCGAAAAATTATTAACCATAAACTGTAATTAATAAAATTATTAATATACATGTATATGTTATTAGTGCTATTTATTTCTTAACGTACAGTACTATACATATGATAATAACTTTAATAATATTGATTTAGTGATTAAATCTTTTCAATCATATGATTTAATCATTATTCTTCTTTATCCGAATAGAAGTAAGTAATCATCACTTTTTCATAGGAAGAAATTATTTCATCCTCTTCCATGGAAAAGATTTTGCTGTAATTAAACTATCCCTATATAATTAAAATGTAAAATAACTCTGTATATATGATTAAAATTAAGAAATTGACACACGATAAATTATTTCAAAATTTTCTTTATTAATTCTATTTTATAAACTATTGTAAATCTACATTAAATTTTGATTACTTCGATCATTTAAGTGATTTTTCAGGAAATTTGAAATTATTACTGCTGTCTGCTGTCTTTTTAGAAAGTTAATTACTTAATAAATTCGAATATGTGACTATTTTAGTACTTTCAACACGCAAAAATGTATTTATTGATGTCTAGGTACAGTATAAAAACTAAGAAAACGAAGGTTTTCTTATAAAATACGATAATAATTCTGGAAAAAATTAATGGATTGAAGGTGATTAAGATAATATCAAAAATAGAAAACAGGAAAATAAAACAAAATACTAAAGTAAGGTATTTCTCATATTTTGATGAAACTTTGTCAAGGTTTTGGTTACGTAAATAATAAAAAAAAGCCTTAGGCCTACAGTAATTTATATCTTGTTTTCATCAATTATATTTTTGTCTTGCGATAGCGGTAGGCTTTTTAAGAAAACAAGTTGATAAAATTCGACAATATTAACAATGCAAATATTTATTTATTGATATCGTATTCGAATCATTAGCCAATCATTCTACTGAATCAGTAAGTTATATCATTAGCCAATCAGTAGATATTAAGAATTTGTTTTTTAATGTGCCATTTAAAAATATATTTTGTTCGACTAAATGAAAACACTGTTTTAAGAAAAATATTTATTCAAGAAATTCTTGATTTTCTGGAATTTAATGATTTTGTAAATAGGCTCGTATTTCAGTTCTATTTTAGCGAATATCTTAGTGCTTAGTTTAAATATAGAAATAATTCCGTTTCAAAAATCTTATCGTATTCATAAGTTATAAAATTTCATCTTGTAATCTAACGTTAACGTTTAATGTGATATTCACATTAATTTATTAAGGGAAATGAAATACTTTCATACACGAAGAACAGAAAGGTAATTCTGAAAATTGATGTATTTAAATAAAAGATTATTTAAAACTATGAATAAGTAATCGTATAGTTTAATACGTAGTAAATATCCATGAATAAAGTATCAAAAATATTTAGTAAATTAGAAACGAATCATTCAATACTGCACATCTGTGCGATTAAATTTTTTAAAGGACAGTTTTTGTTCTTCAAACAAATTTATTGATATTTTATTCATGGGTATTTACTATGTATTAAATTATAATATGGTTTATTCCTTATTCATAGTTTTAAATAATTTTTTACTTAAAAGTAATTTTGAAAATTGATATACTTATGTTCTGCTTGCATACAAAAGTATTCAACTTTTAAAAATAGCTTTATAAGTTAAAAAGTTAAATTTTTGAAAGGATTAAGCATATTTTCTATATAATAATAGTTGTAATGGCATCCTGTATATCGTGTTCTGCAAAGCTTATTATGTTCAAAAAGAGATTCGTCTCTTGATCAAGGTTAATCCTGGATTCAACCACTATATTGGCGAATGTCAAATTCCAGATGGCTTGTTCAGAGATAACGATCTTTCTCATACATTAATGCGAGATGTTTGTTGTATGGTATATGAATTTAAGAATATTCTACAATAGTTATTTTTTTTATACTTAAACATAAATGTTCTCGAATTAGTCTAGTACCTGATTATTGTTACGAAGAGCTCAGGAAATGACATTAGTTATAGAAATGATGATTGAAACCGCAATCATCCTGTTCATTCATCATTGATTCTTGACTTTAATGCGGGAATCTGTATGTCTGAAATATTTGTAACGTGTGTGGTCTGCAAAATAGTAATTATATTATTAAAGTATATTACTTTACGCTCTTTATCAATTAGTGTAATGTCTGATCTGTTGTATTGAATTTCGTACTTGTTCTGTCCATGAATAATCTTGTATTTTTTGCTCTTTATTATTATTATTATTATTATCATCATTATTTAATAGAAAATTATTCTAATTTTAAGCATGTGCATAATTATACTGATTTTATGATAGGGTCCATTATAGTCATTTTACCTTCATTAAATAACAATCAATAATTTATAATCGTTATAATGCAAAAAATTGATAATAAAGTTTGCGATTATTTCATTGTAATTTTATTATAAAAGAAAGAAAAAACACGCATAAAAGTAAAAAGTGTATTTTATTAAATTTTATAAAATAAAAACGACGTACAACCTCATTTTTTTCATTAACGTTTAGCATAATTACAAAATGACTATTTTTCCTATTTAAATTAGCCAACAGCCAAATGATTGTATGACAACGAAATTATAAACCAGTCTTAGCATCTACAGTTCTATATTATTTGCATAAAGAATATAGTAAATTTATATATATATTGATGCTATTTTTGATAATAATTCTTCAAAAATAGAATCAACAGGAATAGTATTATACAAAGCAGAGAAGGTAAATTTGCCCTTTTTTTTTAATAATAAAATTGGTGTATATAAAAATTGAATGATTTAAATCGCCCATTGTATCGGCAGCGTTTTGTTTCTAGCATTAGATACTGTTTATAGCTTTCGTTACATAATTGATCCAATTAAAGCTACAATATTAAAGCAATCACTATAAATAGCCTAACATACAAAGTGGTGACCGTGAAAGACGTAATGATAAAACTTGCTATATAACAATAAGTTAAAAAGACCAAGGATGGGGTGGAATATAAAAAAAAAAAGAATTAAAAAATCCTTTCGTGAAATTCTTTCGTAATAAGCAACATTTTAATGTTAAAAATATACAGAATAAATTGATAACTACAATGACACAAGACAACGGTATAAAAATGAAAATAAATACAAAATTAAGACGAAACATTTCCAAAAATTTAATTTATTTATTACTGTATTAAATTACAGCAAACAATCCGAAATATTTGTACAGCTGTTTGATTCATGTTTTGTAATATTGCTCCGCATGTAGTGGCAGTTAAGTAGGCGTCAGACACATTTTCACTGTCACACGTGATACGAGTAGTTATCCTTGTAATGGTCATCTTTAGTTGTGACTGGTTGTCCTTGATACCTGTGATCTTGTCCCAATTCCCGGTACAGGTATTCATACCCCCAAATACTCTCCCCTCTACTAGATTCCACTTCCTACTTTTTCCTTCTATATATGAATCGAGGTTACTTATGTATCTGTCGGGTTTTCATATTGAATAACCATTATAATATATCATTGTTTTTATAACATAATAAAAAATTTTAAAAATCAATCATTTATAATTACACATTATAAAATTAAATTGAATTTTATTTATATTTTATGCTGTATTATTTATAATAAAAATTGTCGAATTTTTAAAATTATGTATTTGTTTCTACAGGATGAATTCCATCCATTCATTGAGGCTCTTTTGCCTCATGTCAAATCATTTTCATACACATGGTTCAATCTACAGGCTGCAAAACGGAAATATTTCAAAAAACACGAGAAACGTATGAGTTTAGAAGAGGAAAGAAGGTGTAAAGAAGAACTTCACGTATGTTAAAATCAATCTGACATTAATATATTTTTATATAATTTATAATAAGTTCATACCTGTAGTAGCCTAAGTTATAGCTATCTTTAATGACTGTTTCTTTGATAATTTCTTAACATTTATGTATTTTTAATAATATCATTTATCTAATTCCTACAGACTTTAAAAGATAATAACTATTGTTTATATATATATACACACACTGCATTTAAAAAAAAAAAAACTTCCTGTACAAAATCATTCCTGGTAATAACATAAAATACAACTCTTAGAAATAATAAATGATATTGTATCATGAATTTTATGATTTGTTTATTGATAAATTGTAAAAATTTAAATTTATATATAGTACTTTATTACATAAATAAATCTATATTAATGTAAAATGCAAATTAAATGTTTTAATACTTATAAATAAAAATAAAGAAAATAATTATTTATAAATGTTATACAAAAATGTAAATGTATATATTTTTATAATATAAAACTGAAATTACTTTAAATATCAAGTTAAAAAATCATTATTAACATATGGATAGTTGAAAGCATTTACATAAAAGCTTCGCATTTTAAAATATTAATATTTAATATTTTCTAAAAAACTATGATAAGAACCATTAATTTTCCGTTATGAAATTCATTTTTCATATAGAATTTTCATTTATTTTAATAATTAAATTTTAAAATTTATTTAAAATTCGCAACATTATGAAAAAGTTCAGATGTGCTTAGAATAAAATCAAACAAGGAAACGTATATATATTTTATTGTCTTTTATATGTTAATAACATGTAACAAATAAACATTTTAACATTTAAGCTATGGAAATGGGTATTAAAATAGCATGGTTTTTTTTAAATAAGCTGATAAGAAAATTATATTAATAAATTATAAGCAAACAAAAGGATTTAGAAACTTACCTTGAAGTAAATGATAATGCTAAAAGATTGTAACAAGGATATTGAAAAAAAATAATAATTAATCCGACATTCAGCGAGAGTTTTTAAAGTGGATAATCTCAAATAACGAAATATTTAATGCTTGATTCTTAGAGTAAAACTATTTATAAAAGGTGTTTAAAGAAAAAAAAAATGTATATACACTTTGATTATTAATTAATAACCTCTTTATTTTAGTTTAATAATTTAGATTTCAATTTAACATTATAACATTTAGTCAAAATTTCATCAGGAATTTATCATTTTCTTATCAATATGTTATCATTATCAAGTATCTCAATTATAATAATTAATTATGTATGGATTGTTATTAAGATGATACGGATATATTCTATGCTCTAAAACACACCATAAAAAATCATAAAAATGAATTTCTATGGTATTCTTAGAATCTTTCATATCAAGCGGATGTCAATGTCAAGCATAATTAAAAGAGCTATGTATTGATAAATTATATCGATAAGATCTTAATAAACATATACTCATCTATTGTAATTAATGTTAAATTTATTTTAAAATAGGCTAAATTATTTAATAGCATGTATTCGCCGGTGATTTCAATATTGATTTCACTTAACTATTTGATGTAAACTCTTATTAAACTTAAAAGAAAATTGATTTAACTGTTAATGAATTATTTAAATAAAATTTTTTGCATATTATGCAACTTTTAGACTTTTAATTGTGTTTTTCTTCCAATTTCTTCTATTGAAATCATTCAGATAATGTGTTGAATACAAATACTATCCACTCATTGAAAACTTGATCCGTTTTAATCTGTGGATATTAGTAGCACCGAAAAAGTAGAGAGATTTAACATTTGTGCTTTTAATTAATTAATTAATTTAGTAATAGTTAATATCCATTGAAAATTTAAAAACATCTAACTATCTAGTAAGCTCTATAATGGCATATTTCCAAAAGTGACAAATTTAACAAAATTCTAGAAACTGGAAATATTTCTGAAATTATTTGGATTTTTAGATTTCGTTGTGAGGAATTTACGAATCTTCCTTAACATCTTTTGAAATTCTATCATTTCAGTTGATTTATAAAAGTTATATTTATTAGATAACTGATTTCAGGATAAATATTCATTCGCTATCCGTATATTCAGAAAATTTGACTAACTGACAAATTCTAATTTGTGTCAGTGCTGAATAATTAAGTTTTACTACAAATGGAGTTCTATATTTTTGATTGATATGAATCACTTACAAACGTTTTTACATTAATTATTCATAGAGCTGAATAGTTGTATGTTAAATTTCACTCAAGTTTGTAATTGGATATGAAATTTTTTGCTGTTTTAAAATATAGAGAATTTTTGAATTTGAAAGGAAGTAAATAGTTTTTATGAAATTTATGATTAATTAGATTTAAAAATTCACGATTTTTCTCATTGCAATACAGAAATAACAGCAAAAAATCTATTTTCAGGTGTTTTTTTCTTCTCATTTTTATATCCAGAGTCTACTATTGTAAAGTAACAGGATAATGGATAAATAGATCAGAGTAGATTTAATTTTTTTTTCTTTTTAAGTAAACATTTTATTGTTCATTGTTTTGTAGCTTAGTGAATGTGATTACAATATGCACTCATAAATTTAAATATAATGCAAATTATTATTAAAGGATAAATGGATAAAGCATAATTATAAGGTTAACTTTGTTAGCTGTGAAAAAAATTTAACGAAATATATATGATAGTTTATTAAAAAATAAAAATTATAAATGCAAATTTATGAAAATATTGCCGATAATTCTATTAATTTTATNACATTCAAAAATTATTTTTATTATAAAAATGTTCGGAATTTCTGAGAATTTTATCAAGTTAGAACGTAGAATGTTTTTCTGGAATATCATTTTTATGCTGATATTGATATATTCCAAACGATTTAAACATTGTTATATCATCAAATTAATATAATAAATATTATAAATATTTTATCTTATTCCTTTATTACTGTGTAACGTTCAAATTAGAAAGAATGTTACTTTATATTTTTAGATGAATCTAAAACTTTGATTATAAAATCTTCTTCAAATAAATTCTAGAATTTAGGATTGCTTAATTAAGAATTTTGAAACAGCTGCAGACAGTTTTGGTTATAAATATGCATTTTGGCATATGCCAAGATCTTGTGAAGAATCTCAATAATTAAGTTTTTATTAAAACCTGCTCTTCTTTTCGACACCAATTCGAGTTCGTAAACCGTTCACTTGTTTGAATAACTCTAGAATATTTACTTTAATAATACTTAATAACGTATAATTTAAAGATAAATTGGAATTCTAAAATACAAATAAACTTAATAAATAACTAATAAGCTATTTATTTATTAATAATTAACAGTACATGAAGAAAAATAGGTGGAGTTGTCAAACCTGAATATCAATCAACAGGCAGTTAGGAACTTATCAACAAAAATTTATTGGAATCAATTTACACTTTGTATGCTATGTTAGATCTAATATAACGTATGATCGGGTATTAATAAAAATCCATATTTTATGAGGGTTATTTTTAAATGCTAATTATCTCTGTAACCTTAAAGATATCGATTATTAGCCCGAAAAATTATTAACCATAAACTGTAATTAATAAAATTATTAATATACATGTATATGTTATTAGTGCTATTTATTTCTTAACGTACAGTACTATACATATGATAATAACTTTAATAATATTGATTTAGTGATTAAATCTTTTCAATCATATGATTTAATCATTATTCTTCTTTATCCGAATAGAAGTAAGTAATCATCACTTTTTCATAGGAAGAAATTATTTCATCCTCTTCCATGGAAAAGATTTTGCTGTAATTAAACTATCCCTATATAATTAAAATGTAAAATAACTCTGTATATATGATTAAAATTAAGAAATTGACACACGATAAATTATTTCAAAATTTTCTTTATTAATTCTATTTTATAAACTATTGTAAATCTACATTAAATTTTGATTACTTCGATCATTTAAGTGATTTTTCAGGAAATTTGAAATTATTACTGCTGTCTGCTGTCTTTTTAGAAAGTTAATTACTTAATAAATTCGAATATGTGACTATTTTAGTACTTTCAACACGCAAAAATGTATTTATTGATGTCTAGGTACAGTATAAAAACTAAGAAAACGAAGGTTTTCTTATAAAATACGATAATAATTCTGGAAAAAATTAATGGATTGAAGGTGATTAAGATAATATCAAAAATAGAAAACAGGAAAATAAAACAAAATACTAAAGTAAGGTATTTCTCATATTTTGATGAAACTTTGTCAAGGTTTTGGTTACGTAAATAATAAAAAAAAGCCTTAGGCCTACAGTAATTTATATCTTGTTTTCATCAATTATATTTTTGTCTTGCGATAGCGGTAGGCTTTTTAAGAAAACAAGTTGATAAAATTCGACAATATTAACAATGCAAATATTTATTTATTGATATCGTATTCGAATCATTAGCCAATCATTCTACTGAATCAGTAAGTTATATCATTAGCCAATCAGTAGATATTAAGAATTTGTTTTTTAATGTGCCATTTAAAAATATATTTTGTTCGACTAAATGAAAACACTGTTTTAAGAAAAATATTTATTCAAGAAATTCTTGATTTTCTGGAATTTAATGATTTTGTAAATAGGCTCGTATTTCAGTTCTATTTTAGCGAATATCTTAGTGCTTAGTTTAAATATAGAAATAATTCCGTTTCAAAAATCTTATCGTATTCATAAGTTATAAAATTTCATCTTGTAATCTAACGTTAACGTTTAATGTGATATTCACATTAATTTATTAAGGGAAATGAAATACTTTCATACACGAAGAACAGAAAGGTAATTCTGAAAATTGATGTATTTAAATAAAAGATTATTTAAAACTATGAATAAGTAATCGTATAGTTTAATACGTAGTAAATATCCATGAATAAAGTATCAAAAATATTTAGTAAATTAGAAACGAATCATTCAATACTGCACATCTGTGCGATTAAATTTTTTAAAGGACAGTTTTTGTTCTTCAAACAAATTTATTGATATTTTTACAAATTGCCATCTGTGTAAAAAATGAAATGAATTGAAACTTTTGAGGTGCCTACAACTAAGACTTGCATGTCGTAAGAAAAAAAATTAGGAATTTGAACTTCATGTAGGCAAGTGCTTGGTAAAATGAGAATTATATCCTTACTTAGAAAAGATTGACATTGTTATCATATTTTTCTTTTCCATTATTCATATTCTAGCATTGTGTAGAGGAATGGCCAGATGGCTGAGACAGCTAAGGCATCACCCTACTGCTCTGGAGTCCTGAGAATATGTTTCCAAAAATTTTAAATTGAATTTGAAATTTTCAAAAGATAGAACATTTGTAGAACAAGTGCTGAAACATTGGACTTTGAAATTTAATTTGAAGGTTTGATGAACATTTCTGTTGGTCAAATGATTAATATTCAAAAAGTGGTCCTAATGTCTTATGTGCACTTATTTTATTTGTGTCTTGAAGAGAAGTTATAAATGAATATAAACATCCAAACTCAATAGTCAAGCAATTAGTGAATATAATCTGATATAATTTGGCAAGCATTTGAGAAATCATACATTGAAGATGGCCTTAGAAAGGCTGAAAACATTTTGAAGGTTTTTTTTTAAACTATTAACTGAAGATTAAGGTTAGAAATTACTTTTAACACAAGTAGATAATGATATAAGTTAATTAAATTTAATTGAAACATATTGATGCTGTATTTTTGCCTTGAACAGGCTTGTTTCTGTTTAACTAACCTAGTAATCATAGGTTATCTATTTAGATTCATGGTGATATCATTTTTAATTTAGATACTCAACCCATGCAGTACAGTGGTTATAAATTATTGAGTGCATTTCAGGAAGGAATAAAAACAATAACACACAAACATAGTGAGTGACCTCTATTTTTTGTTTTAGATGATAGAGTAGCTTTAAGAGTTTGTGCTGGTCTTGACTAAACATAGGTGGCACTGTGATGGAAAATTAGGAAACCTTCTTTTCAAAGCATACAGTGACTACACTAAGTACCTTGATATGTTGTAGGAATGTGTGATACTCACTTTGTGTGATACTACAAAGTGAGTAGTGGGAACTGAACATTTACTTCCAGCAAGATGGGGCACCTCTACACTGGGGTTTAATTGTTCAGAACTACCTACAGGAAAAATTTTCTGAATGTTGGATTGGCTGCAGAGGACCAATTTCCTGGCCACCTCAATTTCCCAATGTTACACCATTTTTTTCTTTGGAGATTTGTCAAAGGTAGAGTGTACACAACAGAGGTTTGTGACACTGAAGAACTGAAAAGATAAATTGGTGAAGTCAATGGAGGAATAATTGCTGAAATGCTCTGTAACACATGATGCAAAATTGAATGCTGCCTAGATGTTTTGTGCGCTACACATGGAGCTCATATGGAATTTGTTTAAAGTGTAAAATATTTTATTCAATAACCTATTAAATAAAATAGCAGACATGTGAGTACATTACCACATTATATTTTTATTCCTCCCCAAAATAAGCTTAATAGTTTATAATCACCCTATACAATGTAAAGGTGTATTTCCTATCTCAAGCCATTCACTAGTTCCAATTTTCAAGTAACTAATTACAGGAGCAAGTTATTACTTGCAACAGATAAATGTTGATAATTTAATAATTAAATGTAAGTTTTTATGTTAAATGTTATACTGTCTGCCTACAATAAAAAAGAATATGAATCAGAAAATGCTTATTGGCCTTTAAACTAGCTATGTACCTATAGTTAGAGAATACAATAAATACAATATAATAAATTTTTTTAAAAAGTTTGACTCTCAATAAAAATATTTTGTTTATTGATGCAACAATATATTAAAATTTAGACATTAAGAATATTTTTAGAAAAGAATTATGATTAATATAATTAATTTATTAACAAATATATAATATGTTTGCTTCAGTGTCGCCAATGAATTTTCTGGCTTCTTTAAGTGGCTGAATATAATTCTGTAATATTGATTAATATTTTATAAAATTTAAGCAGTGCTTTCCATTTATTTATTTATTCATTCAGAAATATTACAAAGAAAAAGATTTTTTCCTATCAAAATTATAAGGAATGTGATTAATAAATTAATCTAATTTAAAAAATAAGATAAAAAATATTCCCTGCTTGAAATTAATGGAATATTATTTTTAAAAGTGTGTAGATATCATGGAAAAACTTATGAAATTGGTGAAAGTATCGAATCAGATAATCTTTGTGAGAGATGCCGATGTTCTTCTTTAACATCCGAAGAAGCAACTATACAATGTATTAGTATCGAATGTCCCTCTGATCTTGGTGTTCCTGTAAAAGAAGGTTGTTACTATGGTTACAATTTTTCTCGTTGTTGTCCACAGGAAATATGTCGTAAGTTTTAATTTTCAAACTTAAAGTTAATATTTGACAATTTTTAAGATTATGTATTTATTAATTTACAATCTTTTAAATTTTAGCTACAGAAGAGGAAAGTGACAACTGTAAGTATATAGATTTTTATTTATTCAAGGACTTTTAAATTATATTAATTAATGTAGATAACAATAATATTTATTAATTTATAAATATTAAAACATCGTTAAAAGCTGGAAAACAATCAACTCACAGACTTCTATATATATATACCAGCAAGTACATTTATTGTAAGAACCAACATTTTTGATCCCTTTCAGAGACTTTTATCAGGTTATTGTACATTTCCATAAATAAAATGTGATTAATTGAAAAAATTCTAATTGGAACATTCTATACAAAATGTAATGATATTCAAATTAAATTGTAACAATCAAAATTACAAAATATGTAAAAAAAATATATCAGTAATAATAAAATGTAATTATATTAATTAAAATATCTATAACTGTCAGGCAGATAATAGTAAGGGCTTATCACACCAATGATAATGGGCACAAATGCTCAGGGATCAAAGTAAAAACATTTAATAAAACATAAAGGGGTGTACAATAAGATGATTACATAAGTATGCAAACTGAAAAATCCAAAATGCATTTCAGACTATTTTCCAATAGAAAACAGTCCCTCATCAGTTGGTATTAACTAAAGGTTTTAGTATACTTAAAAATTATACAAGTTGAAAAAATATAATTAAACTAAAAACTGTGCCTAAAGCTATATAATATAAAGATGAAAACGTCACCATGTCTGTATGAACAGTAAGCATTATCAATGTGGACAGGAGTAGTAATTCTTCATAACGTTGCATGGTAGTGTGACGTACAGGGTGCTGATACAAATCCAGTTATGTGTTAGATAAATTATGTTATGAACTAAAATAAAAATTTAACTTACTTAAGCCTGTAACTGATATGAAATGGTATAATTCTAACGCACAAACGTTTTCTGAAAACCTTCCGTGTTCTTCCTCATGTATTCAAACTGGATTTTTTATATTCTGGAACACTGTTATGAAATTTTTTAAATAAAATTTTATTTAAAAAATTTCATAACGGTGTTAGAATTTTACTGTTTCACATTGGTTACAGGCTTAAGTAAGTCGAATTTTTATTTTATTATACTACTCAGTGTGCCTGAAAGAGTTATATATGTTATGAACTAATGTTATACAGACAGTTTAAATTATATATGTATCAAAAACAGTATGATGACAGAGTTTGTAGGTTCAGAGGTGTGTTATCTTACACATATGGTGCACAAGTAGTGACAACATATGATGCAACCAGATGTCATTGTTAATTTTATCTATTTCACCCTTTAATCCTTACTATTATCTTCCTCACGGTTATAGATATGTTAATTAATTTAATTATACCTAGGGCTAAAAGCAATTTCTGTAATAATTTTGTTAATAAAATGTAATGTTACCTTTGACTGTAGGCAAACTTTAGTACAAATACCTCATATTTAAAATATTGTCACCAAAATCAAAGTGATCAAAAACATTTGTTCTTCCAATAAATGTATCTGCTGGAAGATGTTTGTGAATTATTAATCCATAAATAATAATACATTGGGCCATTAACAAAAAATATTTTTATTAAATAATTATTTCTATTATATTATTAAATAGAGGAAATGAAAAAAATTATTTGATATAAAAATTTATTCTTGTAATACATTTTATAATTCCTATCTAGTTTGTACTACTTCTCTNGTGACAAATTTAACAAAATTCTAGAAACTGGAAATATTTCTGAAATTATTTGGATTTTTAGATTTCGTTGTGAGGAATTTACGAATCTTCCTTAACATCTTTTGAAATTCTATCATTTCAGTTGATTTATAAAAGTTATATTTATTAGATAACTGATTTCAGGATAAATATTCATTCGCTATCCGGATATTCAGAAAATTTGACTAACTGACAAATTCTAATTTGTGTCAGTGCTGAATAATTAAGTTTTACTACAAATGGAGTTCTATATTTTTGATTGATATGAATCACTTACAAACGTTTTTATATTAATTATTCATAGAGCTGAATAGTTGTATGTTAAATTTCACTCAAGTTTGTAATTGGATATGAAATTTTTTGCTGTTTTAAAATATAGAGAATTTTTGAATTTGAAAGGAAGTAAATAGTTTTTATGAAATTTATGATTAATTAGATTTAAAAATTCACGATTTTTCTCATTGCAATACAGAAATAACAGCAAAAAATCTATTTTCAGGTGTTTTTTTCTTCTCATTTTTATATCCAGAGTCTACTATTGTAAATTAACAGGATAATGGATAAATAGATCATAGTAGATTTAATTTTTTTTCTTTTTAAGTAAACATTTTATTGTTCATTGTTTTGTAGCTTAGTGAATGTGATTACAATATGAACTCATAAATTTAAATATAATGCAAATTATTATTAAAGGATAAATGGATAAAGCATAATTATAAGGTTAACTTTGTTAGCCGTGAAAAAAATTTAACGAAATATATATGATAGTTTATTAAAAAATAAAAATTATAAATGCAAATTTATGAAAATATTGCCGATAATTCTATTAATTTTATTCAATTACTTTCCATCGCTCTGTAAAAGATTATCTTAATTTTTTATACGATAAATATAGATTTTAAATTCTACTCAATATAGTTATGCTTACTGTTATATCTTTTACTTCTTGCCACAAAATATCGAATGTTTGAACTAAATATATCGTATAAGACGTCAAATTTATACTTATTTCGATTGAAAGTATTGATGAATATTGAATGAAACTAATTAAAAATGTAAAACATGCGCTACTATTTGATTTTCTTTCTTTAAATCTGATGAATCAAGGTTTTCATTCTCTAGAAAATTGTCTTACTTTTTATTATCCGTTTCTTAATTTAATTTTTTAACTCTCCGTCCTGTGGGTACTAAGAGGGACTTTTTTAGATCCATCATGAGTTCGGAGAGACTCACAATTGGGCGTGTAAGAGATGTGATCTGCTGGATCCGGGACCGATCACTCTGAAAAATTTATAGGGTTTATTGACTATCCCGGATCTCTCAGAGCGATAGGTTGGTTTTTAACTGCCTCGGCTATTTAGCCGGCCTCCTATTATTACTAAAGAATAGTTATTCAGTAGGAACTGTTCATAATAATAGCTGAGATAATTGGCATAAATTACAACACTCAAAATATCCGTGTATAATATAAGAATCCATATTTGATTCGATTCTGGATTCATTATTCAATAAGAATTCTTTATCACGTAAATTATCCAGTAGGCCATTCTGTAAGACTGGTATTAGCAATAATATATGCAATGAAGTTTATTTTTATGTTTTGGAAATAGAACACTCGTTCTGTCTTTTAGTAGACAACGCAAGACTTGCAGAATTAGTTATTTATCTAACAATAGTAGATTACTAGTTTCAGCACTCCAATTTTTTACAACAATATGCACTTTCACCTTCATCACTTGCTGCTTGCGTTCTTCAGACAAGTTTAATGACATTCGTGTTCTAATAAATACAATTAAAAGATATACTAATTTACATCTTTATCGACAACCTTACTTGTTTTTATTCGAGTAATCATTTAATTAATTATAATAATTACCAGTTATCATAATTTGATTTTAACAACATAAATAAGCGAAATGTAATATAGTTCCAGAGGAGAAAAGAGATGCTATAAAGTTTATATTATACAATAGATGTCTATTTTCTTGCACTTGTAAGAAAATAAAACATTTTAGAAAATTTGATGTAATTAAAATTTTTCAATTTTTGTCGATAAGTTAGAAAATTAACCATATTCAGCTTATTTCAAATGGCATCTTCGTTGAATTATGCATTAAATTTAGTCATTTTTCTATTGCCGAAACATATCGATTCTTCAGTAAAAGAACTAAAATAAAAGATAATTTAATAAAACGACACAATTAGTTATATATTTAGATTACTTTGATTTGCTTTTATTTAATTTGGCTACGGCAACGCGACACGTGGGCTCTCTGCTGAGAGGGATGCCTTCTGGGAGGACTTTTTAGTTAGGTGTTACAAACGTGAAGAAAACCCTGAAAACTCCGCGTGGCCAGCCCGGTGGCCAGACCCGAACCCATGACTAATTCAAATGGTCCACCAGTGTTTAGTGATTTTATTCACTTCGCCACTAGTGGGAAATTTTGAATTAATAATTGAAATAATATTCCCTTTAGAATGTATGATTTTTCAACTATCGTCAAAGAAAGATGATAAATTGCTACTATATGCTATATGCGTTACATAATGAATAGATTTAAAAGTAGTCTTACATTCATTTTATATCATTTTATTATTCATTTTCATTACTATTTCGGTTTATGAAAGATATATTATCATTTAACATTATAATTTGTTTTGTTTTGTTAATTGCCGGTATTTTATATAATTTTATATCAATATATTCAAGGACTGCTATGGGGAAAAATGAGCAAATTACCTGCTCCCCGAGAAATTAGGCCTTCCATACAATGTTTTTTCGTTTATTTTCTTTACTTTAATATAATAATTTAATTTGCTATAGAACCACCAATATATATTTTGCCCTGTTACCCTCTGGGCAGCCGGAAATATACTGTATCTATCATTATCGAATTTTGCGATCCAAATTTACATTTAAAAAAAGACCCAGTTTTATCATTAAACCATTAAAACGTACCTTTTGTTTCAGTCCTTAAAACGATTTTCAATTCATGTTAGATATTGAATTTTACTGTTGCTCTTTTGATTTCATTGTATAAAACAGTAGGCTGATAGTAATTTCTTGATACCGAAACGGGATTGGCCGGATGGCCTAGCGGCCAAGATGGCAGCCTACCGCTCTGGGGGATCCGGGATTGAATCCCCAGGAATTTTCCGGGAGAGGTCCGTCCGGATATGTCCGGCCCGTCCCTCATCACCAGGCTGTTCCATTGTGGACATGGCCGAACCCATAATGGGCTTGCTAAAAGAGGCCCTCTTAGTGTCTATAGGGAAAAAAGAGTTTTTTTTTTTTTTTAAATCCTTTGTTTTTAATTGGTAATGAAATTAGACTTTTATAAAATCTAAATTCTGCTGGTGTAAATAATGAACTAAAAATCTAGTCTATTTTAATTGTTAAGTATCTTAAAATGTTTCTATATGTGTATTTTCGCATAGCTAACCAAGTACTAGTTGTTTGGTTATAAGTTACATCACCACTTCTTGTTTTATTTTGTTTTTTTTCAAAGAATACTTTGTTTATCCATTAACAAATGGAATTATTGGTTTCTTTGGCCAAGATGCTAAACCAGGCATGGCCAACATACGGCCCGCGGGCCAGATCCGGCTCGTTTAATGAATTTATGTGGCCCGCGATCAATCTTTCAATATTAGCTACTCAAGTCCAAATAGCTCGATGAAAAATTCTGACGGCTAAAAAAAGGTCAACAACTCACTGTGCATTTACAGTTAACCCTCCATTACAAATCTCGTAAGTACAGCGTAGAATGTTGATAAAGCATGATAATGTGAAAAATATATCTGTAATCTCTATCTACAATTTAGTCTCTACGGGATGACACCACAATGAGATCTCGCACCACCTCAAAATCTTCCTAGGGCGGCCTCTGGTTCGGCCCGTGGAAAAAGTTTTCTTTCCAATTCGGCCCGGGGCAAAAACTGTTAGCCACCCGTGCTAAACTACTCAAAGTGTTGTTTCTGTTAAAGATAACAAAACGCTATACACACATCGCTTTGGTTAAACGAAAACTGATTGAGGGCTTGTAAACATTAGGTGTTGGGCGTTGCGTTAAACGTGCGTTTAGCTCGGCGTTCGACGACCGTTAGTAGGGCGTGCGCACTGGCTCAGTTTGGAAATGGATGTGGAAGTGATTGCTTGTGTGTGGCTCTATCGTCGCTATAAAAGACAACGGCAGAGGCAAAGAGAATTTTGGGTGCACCCAAGATTACGAGATAAACTGACGCATGGAATGTTTGTGACGTTGTATCCAAAACTAAGACAATATGAACTCAAGTTTTTTAATTATTTTAGAATGTCTATAAAATCATTTTGGCGATGGCTGGTCTCTTTTGGATTTCATCAATAAATAGATTAATATCGAAATGATCGTTCTCCATTTCGGTCAACGTGCATCCACTCTACCCGAAAGCGCGCGATCGAATGTACAGTACAACAAAATGGCGGAGCATGTACTGTATCTCAAAGCGCGCAGCTGACGCCCGCCCGACGCGCGTTCTAACCAAAATCTGTCAATGCGCGTTTGGTGCGCGCTTGTCCAGAAGCGCACGTTTGCGTGTGTACACCTATGCGGACCTCTTGGTTCTTTAAAACGTGCGTTACCAAAGCGCATGCCTAAAGTGTGCTATGTCTGACACTCGAAAACAAGGCTTTTAATATTATGAAAAGCATCTTGGAAAGAAAATTTTTACATATTTTATTGAAACAAAATATGTTAAAAAATTTTATACATCATATATTTTCGATTTATATTGTTTGTTCTGCATCAGAACGAACGTTACAATTTCCATTTAGCATTATAGGCCATATTTTAAAAATATGGAATCGGAAATTAATTACCAGTTATTAATTAATTTAACTCAAAACATTTTGAGTTAAATTAACGCTTAAAATATAATGTGCTTCCTGGCTATATTTAACACTAATGTCACTATCTATAAATAGGATCAAATATTTTTCAATACATATTTCAAATATTGACTTTTATTCAGTTATCACAGTTTTATTTACATACAATTAATTAACTATTTACAAATAAAAAAGATTCATGTGTATATTGTATATACCAGTAATTTATTTATTTTGAATTTTGTATGTAAAGTTTATATTTTCAAAATTATGCTGTATGCTAGTTTAGTGATATAAAATATACTTTAATTAATATTAATTTTCAAGTGTCTTTTTTTTTATAATAATGTCTCAAATAATCTGAATAGTAGTTTAAATTTAAGTCTTTATAGTGGCTGGTGTTAAGCAAATTAATTAGGATATGAATTGGAAATTAAGATTTATAGATAAATAAATTCAAGAATTTTATATTACTTGCCTCTTTGTTATGTAAAATATCACTTTTAAAAACTTTTTTTAATTTATTGTACCAAATCAGAGAAATCTGTTTAACTTCCTGAAATTTTTTTAAAATTTTGCACATTATTTAAGATAAAAAATTCAAATAAAATAAATATATACACTATATAAAAGTGAAAAATATGAATGTATATTGAGAATTCTTTAGCAATCTTTAGGCTAAAATTAATCAAAATATGCATGTAACTAATTATTAATATTAGACAGAAAATTCCATTGAATGTATAATAAGTATTTTCAACATTCAAACTAGAACTGGATGGAAATTACATGTCCAATGTGCAGCAAAGTCAAGTTATTGAAAACCTTGAAGCATTCAGAACTTATCTGCATCAAGTTTTAGCCTTTCTATGATAAATGATCTTACATAGTACATACTGAATAATTTTTCATCTATTGTGGCATTAATTAAGTCTTCTATCTCACTCTTTTCTTTCTAATTTGAATTTTAAAGGTTATATTCTATTATCAGAAAGATGTTGGGAATTCAAAGCCATGTTAAGCTTTTTTGATGCCTCAGGCCTAATTTCTTTAGACACTATAGGTACAGATAAAGCACAAAAATATCAATAATGAACATTCAGATGAGGATTCAAATAATGACTAGATATATCCATGCATTAATATGATCCTAGAGAAACAGTATCAAACAACCAAAACTCTATAAAATGTTATATTGGTAGTTGGAACTGAGTTTCTATTTATATCATTTAAGAATTCCTATTTTAAAAATATATGTTAACCAAGTATAGACCAATGATACATTGACAGTATTGTTGTAAACATAATAGAGTAACTAAAAAATTTTATAAAAATTTGGTCTCATTTTTCTTCTTAATAGGCATGCATCTAAAGATACTTTTTCATGCTTTTTCAATACTTATTCAGAAACTGATTATGAGAATATTTATCCAAATAAATAAATTATATATTCAATCATCTATTTTATAATATATTCTGAAATTGTTAAGTAAAAAATTTTGATGTGGGNTGCTATATAACAATAAGTTAAAAAGACCAAGGATGGGGTGGAATATAAAAAAAAAAAGAATTAAAAAATCCTTTCGTGAAATTCTTTCGTAATAAGCAACATTTTAATGTTAAAAATATACAGAATAAATTGATAACTACAATGACACAAGACAACGGTATAAAAATGAAAATAAATACAAAATTAAGACGAAACATTTCCAAAAATTTAATTTATTTATTACTGTATTAAATTACAGCAAACAATCCGAAATATTTGTACAGCTGTTTGATTCATGTTTTGTAATATTGCTCCGCATGTAGTGGCAGTTAAGTAGGCGTCAGACACATTTTCACTGTCACACGTGATACGAGTAGTTATCCTTGTAATGGTCATCTTTAGTTGTGACTGGTTGTCCTTGATACCTGTGATCTTGTCCCAATTCCCGGTACAGGTATTCATACCCCCAAATACTCTCCCCTCTACTAGATTCCACTTCCTACTTTTTCCTTCTGTATATGAATCGAGGTTACTTATGTATCTGTCGGGTTTTCATATTGAATAACCATTATAATATATCATTGTTTTTATAACATAATAAAAAATTTTAAAAATCAATCATTTATAATTACACATTATAAAATTAAATTGAATTTTATTTATATTTTATGCTGTATTATTTATAATAAAAATTGTCGAATTTTTAAAATTATGTATTTGTTTCTACAGGATGAATTCCATCCATTCATTGAGGCTCTTTTGCCTCATGTCAAATCATTTTCATACACATGGTTCAATCTACAGGCTGCAAAACGGAAATATTTCAAAAAACACGAGAAACGTATGAGTTTAGAAGAGGAAAGAAGGTGTAAAGAAGAACTTCACGTATGTTAAAATCAATCTGACATTAATATATTTTTATATAATTTATAATAAGTTCATACCTGTAGTAGCCTAAGTTATAGCTATCTTTAATGACTGTTTCTTTGATAATTTCTTAACATTTATGTATTTTTAATAATATCATTTATCTAATTCCTACAGACTTTAAAAGATAATAACTATTGTTTATATATATATACACACACTGCATTTAAAAAAAAAAAAACTTCCTGTACAAAATCATTCCTGGTAATAACATAAAATACAACTCTTAGAAATAATAAATGATATTGTATCATGAATTTTATGATTTGTTTATTGATAAATTGTAAAAATTTAAATTTATATATAGTACTTTATTACATAAATAAATCTATATTAATGTAAAATGCAAATTAAATGTTTTAATACTTATAAATAAAAATAAAGAAAATAATTATTTATAAATGTTATACAAAAATGTAAATGTATATATTTTTATAATATAAAACTGAAATTACTTTAAATATCAAGTTAAAAAATCATTATTAACATATGGATAGTTGAAAGCATTTACATAAAAGCTTCGCATTTTAAAATATTAATATTTAATATTTTCTAAAAAACTATGATAAGAACCATTAATTTTCCGTTATGAAATTCATTTTTCATATAGAATTTTCATTTATTTTAATAATTAAATTTTAAAATTTATTTAAAATTCGCAACATTATGAAAAAGTTCAGATGTGCTTAGAATAAAATCAAACAAGGAAACGTATATATATTTTATTGTCTTTTATATGTTAATAACATGTAACAAATAAACATTTTAACATTTAAGCTATGGAAATGGGTATTAAAATAGCATGGTTTTTTTTAAATAAGCTGATAAGAAAATTATATTAATAAATTATAAGCAAACAAAAGGATTTAGAAACTTACCTTGAAGTAAATGATAATGCTAAAAGATTGTAACAAGGATATTGAAAAAAAATAATAATTAATCCGACATTCAGCGAGAGTTTTTAAAGTGGATAATCTCAAATAACGAAATATTTAATGCTTGATTCTTAGAGTAAAACTATTTATAAAAGGTGTTTAAAGAAAAAAAAAATGTATATACACTTTGATTATTAATTAATAACCTCTTTATTTTAGTTTAATAATTTAGATTTCAATTTAACATTATAACATTTAGTCAAAATTTCATCAGGAATTTATCATTTTCTTATCAATATGTTATCATTATCAAGTATCTCAATTATAATAATTAATTATGTATGGATTGTTATTAAGATGATACGGATATATTCTATGCTCTAAAACACACTATAAAAAATCATAAAAATGAATTTCTATGGTATTCTTAGAATCTTTCATATCAAGCGGATGTCAACGTCAAGCATAATTAAAAGAGCTATGTATTGATAAATTATATCGATAAGATCTTAATAAACATATACTCATCTATTGTAATTAATGTTAAATTTATTTTAAAATAGGCTAAATTATTTAATAGCATGTATTCGCCGGTGATTTCAATATTGATTTCACTTAACTATTTGATGTAAACTCTTATTAAACTTAAAAGAAAATTGATTTAACTGTTAATGAATTATTTAAATAAAATTTTTTGCATATTATGCAACTTTTAGACTTTTAATTGTGTTTTTCTTCCAATTTCTTCTATTGAAATCATTCAGATAATGTGTTGAATACAAATACTATCCACTCATTGAAAACTTGATCCGTTTTAATCTGTGGATATTAGTAGCACCGAAAAAGTAGAGAGATTTAACATTTGTGCTTTTAATTAATTAATTAATTTAGTAATAGTTAATATCCATTGAAAATTTAAAAACGTCTAACTATCTAGTAAGCTTTATAATGGCATATTTCCAAAAGTGACAAATTTAACAAAATTCTAGAAACTGGAAATATTTCTGAAATTATTTGGATTTTTAGATTTCGTTGTGAGGAATTTACGAATCTTCCTTAACATCTTTTGAAATTCTATCATTTCAGTTGATTTATAAAAGTTATATTTATTAGATAACTGATTTCAGGATAAATATTCATTCGCTATCCGTATATTCAGAAAATTTGACTAACTGACAAATTCTAATTTGTGTCAGTGCTGAATAATTAAGTTTTACTACAAATGGAGTTCTATATTTTTGATTGATATGAATCACTTACAAACGTTTTTACATTAATTATTCATAGAGCTGAATAGTTGTATGTTAAATTTCACTCAAGTTTGTAATTGGATATGAAATTTTTTGCTGTTTTAAAATATAGAGAATTTTTGAATTTGAAAGGAAGTAAATAAAATCAAAATAGTTTTTATGAAATTTATGATTAATTAGATTTAAAAATTCACGATTTTTCTCATTGCAATACAGAAATAACAGCAAAAAATCTATTTTTAGGTGGTTTTTTTCTTCTCATTTTTATATCCAGAGTCTACTATTGTAAAGTAACAGGATAATGGATAAATAGATCAGAGTAGATTTAATTTTTTTTTCTTTTTAAGTAAACATTTTATTGTTCATTGTTTTGTAGCTTAGTGAATGTGATTACAATATGCACTCATAAATTTAAATATAATGCAAATTATTATTAATTAAAGGATAAATGAATACATAATTATAACGGTTAACTTTGTTAGCCGTGAAAAAAATTTAACGAAATATATATGATAGTTTATTAAAAAATAAAAATTATAAATGCAAATTTATGAAAATATTGCCGATAATTCTATTAATTTTATTCAATTACTTTCCATCGCTCTGTAAAAGATTATCTTAATTTTTTATACGATAAATAGATTTTAAATTCTACTCAATATAGTTATGCTTACTGTTATATCTTTTACTTCTTGCCACAAAATATCGAATGTTTGAACTAAATATATCGTATAAGACGTCAAATTTATACTTATTTCGATTGAAAGTATTGATGAATATTGAATGAAACTAATTAAAAATGTAAAACATGCGCTACTATTTGATTTTCTTTCTTTAAATCTGATGAATCAAGGTTTTCATTCTCTAGAAAATTGTCTTACTTTTTATTATCCGTTTCTTAATTTAATTTTTTAACTCTCCGTCCTGTGGGTACTAAGAGGGACTTTTTTAGATCCATCATGAGTTCGGAGAGACTCACAATTGGGCGTGTAAGAGATGTGATCTGCTGGATCCGGGACCGATCACTCTGAAAAATTTATAGGGTTTATTGACTATCCCGGATCTCTCAGAGCGATAGGTTGGTTTTTAACTGCCTCGGCTATTTAGCCGGCCTCCTATTATTACTAAAGAATAGTTATTCAGTAGGAACTGTTCATAATAATAGCTGAGATAATTGGCATAAATTACAACACTCAAAATATCCGTGTATAATATAAGAATCCATATTTGATTCGATTCTGGATTCATTATTCAATAAGAATTCTTTATCACGTAAATTATCCAGTAGGCCATTCTGTAAGACTGGTATTAGCAATAATATATGCAATGAAGTTTATTTTTATGTTTTGGAAATAGAACACTCGTTCTGTCTTTTAGTAGACAACGCAAGACTTGCAGAATTAGTTATTTATCTAACAATAGTAGATTACTAGTTTCAGCACTCCAATTTTTTACAACAATATGCACTTTCACCTTCATCACTTGCTGCTTGCGTTCTTCAGACAAGTTTAATGACATTCGTGTTCTAATAAATACAATTAAAAGATATACTAATTTACATCTTTATCGACAACCTTACTTGTTTTTATTCGAGTAATCATTTAATTAATTATAATAATTACCAGTTATCATAATTTGATTTTAACAACATAAATAAGCGAAATGTAATATAGTTCCAGAGGAGAAAAGAGATGCTATAAAGTTTATATTATACAATAGATGTCTATTTTCTTGCACTTGTAAGAAAATAAAACATTTTAGAAAATTTGATGTAATTAAAATTTTTCAATTTTTGTCGATAAGTTAGAAAATTAACCATATTCAGCTTATTTCAAATGGCATCTTCGTTGAATTATGCATTAAATTTAGTCATTTTTCTATTGCCGAAACATATCGATTCTTCAGTAAAAGAACTAAAATAAAAGATAATTTAATAAAACGACACAATTAGTTATATATTTAGATTACTTTGATTTGCTTTTATTTAATTTGGCTACGGCAACGCGACACGTGGGCTCTCTGCTGAGAGGGATGCCTTCTGGGAGGACTTTTTAGTTAGGTGTTACAAACGTGAAGAAAACCCTGAAAACTCCGCGTGGCCAGCCCGGTGGCCAGACCCGAACCCATGACTAATTCAAATGGTCCACCAGTGTTTAGTGATTTTATTCACTTCGCCACTAGTGGGAAATTTTGAATTAATAATTGAAATAATATTCCCTTTAGAATGTATGATTTTTCAACTATCGTCAAAGAAAGATGATAAATTGCTACTATATGCTATATGCGTTACATAATGAATAGATTTAAAAGTAGTCTTACATTCATTTTATATCATTTTATTATTCATTTTCATTACTATTTCGGTTTATGAAAGATATATTATCATTTAACATTATAATTTGTTTTGTTTTGTTAATTGCCGGTATTTTATATAATTTTATATCAATATATTCAAGGACTGCTATGGGGAAAAATGAGCAAATTACCTGCTCCCCGAGAAATTAGGCCTTCCATACAATGTTTTTTCGTTTATTTTCTTTACTTTAATATAATAATTTAATTTGCTATAGAACCACCAATATATATTTTGCCCTGTTACCCTCTGGGCAGCCGGAAATATACTGTATCTATCATTATCGAATTTTGCGATCCAAATTTACATTTAAAAAAAGACCCAGTTTTATCATTAAACCATTAAAACGTACCTTTTGTTTCAGTCCTTAAAACGATTTTCAATTCATGTTAGATATTGAATTTTACTGTTGCTCTTTTGATTTCATTGTATAAAACAGTAGGCTGATAGTAATTTCTTGATACCGAAACGGGATTGGCCGGATGGCCTAGCGGCCAAGATGGCAGCCTACCGCTCTGGGGGATCCGGGATTGAATCCCCAGGAATTTTCCGGGAGAGGTCCGTCCGGATATGTCCGGCCCGTCCCTCATCACCAGGCTGTTCCATTGTGGACATGGCCGAACCCATAATGGGCTTGCTAAAAGAGGCCCTCTTAGTGTCTATAGGGAAAAAAGAGTTTTTTTTTTTTTTTAAATCCTTTGTTTTTAATTGGTAATGAAATTAGACTTTTATAAAATCTAAATTCTGCTGGTGTAAATAATGAACTAAAAATCTAGTCTATTTTAATTGTTAAGTATCTTAAAATGTTTCTATATGTGTATTTTCGCATAGCTAACCAAGTACTAGTTGTTTGGTTATAAGTTACATCACCACTTCTTGTTTTATTTTGTTTTTTTTCAAAGAATACTTTGTTTATCCATTAACAAATGGAATTATTGGTTTCTTTGGCCAAGATGCTAAACCAGGCATGGCCAACATACGGCCCGCGGGCCAGATCCGGCTCGTTTAATGAATTTATGTGGCCCGCGATCAATCTTTCAATATTAGCTACTCAAGTCCAAATAGCTCGATGAAAAATTCTGACGGCTAAAAAAAGGTCAACAACTCACTGTGCATTTACAGTTAACCCTCCATTACAAATCTCGTAAGTACAGCGTAGAATGTTGATAAAGCATGATAATGTGAAAAATATATCTGTAATCTCTATCTACAATTTAGTCTCTACGGGATGACACCACAATGAGATCTCGCACCACCTCAAAATCTTCCTAGGGCGGCCTCTGGTTCGGCCCGTGGAAAAAGTTTTCTTTCCAATTCGGCCCGGGGCAAAAACTGTTAGCCACCCGTGCTAAACTACTCAAAGTGTTGTTTCTGTTAAAGATAACAAAACGCTATACACACATCGCTTTGGTTAAACGAAAACTGATTGAGGGCTTGTAAACATTAGGTGTTGGGCGTTGCGTTAAACGTGCGTTTAGCTCGGCGTTCGACGACCGTTAGTAGGGCGTGCGCACTGGCTCAGTTTGGAAATGGATGTGGAAGTGATTGCTTGTGTGTGGCTCTATCGTCGCTATAAAAGACAACGGCAGAGGCAAAGAGAATTTTGGGTGCACCCAAGATTACGAGATAAACTGACGCATGGAATGTTTGTGACGTTGTATCCAAAACTAAGACAATATGAACTCAAGTTTTTTAATTATTTTAGAATGTCTATAAAATCATTTTGGCGATGGCTGGTCTCTTTTGGATTTCATCAATAAATAGATTAATATCGAAATGATCGTTCTCCATTTCGGTCAACGTGCATCCACTCTACCCGAAAGCGCGCGATCGAATGTACAGTACAACAAAATGGCGGAGCATGTACTGTATCTCAAAGCGCGCAGCTGACGCCCGCCCGACGCGCGTTCTAACCAAAATCTGTCAATGCGCGTTTGGTGCGCGCTTGTCCAGAAGCGCACGTTTGCGTGTGTACACCTATGCGGACCTCTTGGTTCTTTAAAACGTGCGTTACCAAAGCGCATGCCTAAAGTGTGCTATGTCTGACACTCGAAAACAAGGCTTTTAATATTATGAAAAGCATCTTGGAAAGAAAATTTTTACATATTTTATTGAAACAAAATATGTTAAAAAATTTTATACATCATATATTTTCGATTTATATTGTTTGTTCTGCATCAGAACGAACGTTACAATTTCCATTTAGCATTATAGGCCATATTTTAAAAATATGGAATCGGAAATTAATTACCAGTTATTAATTAATTTAACTCAAAACATTTTGAGTTAAATTAACGCTTAAAATATAATGTGCTTCCTGGCTATATTTAACACTAATGTCACTATCTATAAATAGGATCAAATATTTTTCAATACATATTTCAAATATTGACTTTTATTCAGTTATCACAGTTTTATTTACATACAATTAATTAACTATTTACAAATAAAAAAGATTCATGTGTATATTGTATATACCAGTAATTTATTTATTTTGAATTTTGTATGTAAAGTTTATATTTTCAAAATTATGCTGTATGCTAGTTTAGTGATATAAAATATACTTTAATTAATATTAATTTTCAAGTGTCTTTTTTTTTATAATAATGTCTCAAATAATCTGAATAGTAGTTTAAATTTAAGTCTTTATAGTGGCTGGTGTTAAGCAAATTAATTAGGATATGAATTGGAAATTAAGATTTATAGATAAATAAATTCAAGAATTTTATATTACTTGCCTCTTTGTTATGTAAAATATCACTTTTAAAAACTTTTTTTAATTTATTGTACCAAATCAGAGAAATCTGTTTAACTTCCTGAAATTTTTTTAAAATTTTGCACATTATTTAAGATAAAAAATTCAAATAAAATAAATATATACACTATATAAAAGTGAAAAATATGAATGTATATTGAGAATTCTTTAGCAATCTTTAGGCTAAAATTAATCAAAATATGCATGTAACTAATTATTAATATTAGACAGAAAATTCCATTGAATGTATAATAAGTATTTTCAACATTCAAACTAGAACTGGATGGAAATTACATGTCCAATGTGCAGCAAAGTCAAGTTATTGAAAACCTTGAAGCATTCAGAACTTATCTGCATCAAGTTTTAGCCTTTCTATGATAAATGATCTTACATAGTACATACTGAATAATTTTTCATCTATTGTGGCATTAATTAAGTCTTCTATCTCACTCTTTTCTTTCTAATTTGAATTTTAAAGGTTATATTCTATTATCAGAAAGATGTTGGGAATTCAAAGCCATGTTAAGCTTTTTTGATGCCTCAGGCCTAATTTCTTTAGACACTATAGGTACAGATAAAGCACAAAAATATCAATAATGAACATTCAGATGAGGATTCAAATAATGACTAGATATATCCATGCATTAATATGATCCTAGAGAAACAGTATCAAACAACCAAAACTCTATAAAATGTTATATTGGTAGTTGGAACTGAGTTTCTATTTATATCATTTAAGAATTCCTATTTTAAAAATATATGTTAACCAAGTATAGACCAATGATACATTGACAGTATTGTTGTAAACATAATAGAGTAACTAAAAAATTTTATAAAAATTTGGTCTCATTTTTCTTCTTAATAGGCATGCATCTAAAGATACTTTTTCATGCTTTTTCAATACTTATTCAGAAACTGATTATGAGAATATTTATCCAAATAAATAAATTATATATTCAATCATCTATTTTATAATATATTCTGAAATTGTTAAGTAAAAAATTTTGATGTGGGCTAAAATGTAATTTTTAAAATTTATATATATTTTTTATTTAAATAAATCTCACATAAATTCATAAAATAAGCAGATTATTTGTTATATAAAAAAATATTTTATATTACCAAAAATTGCTTTATTTGAGTTAGAATTTTTATGGACTGCAAAATAATGGCAAAGAAAGTAGTATTAAAATAGTTCTTTTTTAACTTTTAACATTTCTTAATTTTGCCTTTTTAAATAATTGCTGTTGAACTAAAAATAGATTAAATAATTTACTTATTAAATTTTAGTTCTTTAAATTATTAATTTCTGTTTCATTTCTAAGCTGTGTTAACAGAATGAAGAATTCTAAATGTGTATGTATATAATTTAAATATACATAATATGTATATTTAAATTATACACATACACATTTAGAATTTAGAATACACATACACATTGTTATTTTTAACAAGTTTATTTTAAGAATTATATTCTTACATACATATTATGTATGTAAGAATATAATTCTTAAAATAAACTTGTTAAAAATAATGATTTAGAATACAAAAAAAATCTACTATTTTAATCTAAAAAAGATATATTTTTAAATAATGCTTATTATTATTTTTTGGATAATTTCAGTTAATATTTCAATATATTTCAATATTAAAGTTTAGATCTAATACATACATAACTTATGGACGTTTCTATTAAGGGGATTTTTGACAGCATTCATTTGTTTAACCTAATTTTATTACATAAATGTCAAAATAAATAAATGTTGTCATCATTGCTATTATTAATCTTCTTCACTGATTCCTTTTTACGTTAGAAAATTATTTGTAGTTTTCAAATTGCATCAATGTATAAAAATCAAATAAATTTATTCATTTTTAATATTTTCAGAATGTAGTTGTATTTCATAAACCCCAAAGCATTAAAGTGAATAAATTTATTTGACTTTCATATTTCAGACTGTAAACTAATTTTCTGATAACTGTTATTAATTGCAGTAGAATATCTTTTAGAATAAAGAAAAACTATCTGTTTAATTTTCAATGAATGCATTAATTTATTTTCAAAGATAAAAAAAATCTAAGAATTTTTAATTGTCTTTTTAGAATGAGAGAACAGAAGTGAAGCAAAAATGGGCATCACGACTTTTAGGAAAATTACGGAAAGACATAACACAGGAATGCAGGGAAGATTTTGTTTTAGGCATTACTGGGAAAAAGCATGCAACCTGTGTACTAAGTAATCCTGATCAAAAAGGGAAAATGAGAAGAATTGATTGTCTCCGCCAAGCCGATAAAGTAAGCTTATCATAAATTAATAATCAATTTTGATATAATTATAATATTGAGAATATTTATTTATCTGTAAACATACCAATAATTAAAAAAAAAAAATTGAAAAAAGAATTATATATTTAAAAACTTTCCTACTTTTGAAATTTGCAAATTTCAAAATCAGAAATCAAAACAATCAAAATTTATTAGCATATTACTGTATTCAGACAAAAGCACAGTATATTTAAAAGGGTGGGGTTTAAAAAATGTGTTATTTTTTATAATATAGGTATATATAGAGTAGTAGCAGAATACAGTAGACTGAGAAGGAACTGAATGGGTACACAATAAATACAAGTTATATATATTATACTGTTTTATTAATTTTTAATTTTTCTCAAATGGAAATTTCTCAAACTCAATAATAATAATAATTATTATTATTATTATTATTAAACATAAACTAAAGACAAATAATAATCTAATTAAGCAATTGTTTTTTAAATTAAGGATAATTAACATATTATCTAATTTAAATTATGAAAAAATTTTTATAAAAAAAGATTTTTGCATTTTAATATAAATAATATAGATATTAAAAATCAATTTTATTTTATAATATAAATTATATAAGGTATAAACAAATGCAATTATTGTTGCAATAGTTTAGAAATAAAAACTGGTTTGCCTTTATAACACTAAAGCATTACTAAGAATTCTTTATTTCATGGCTGAAGGTCTACAGATTAAAAATTATTATACATGGCATTGAACATAATAATGAAGGCTGAAATTTTTCTTATTTAACAATTTAAAATTCTAATTTTAATTAAGTGTAATAAATTTAATCTATAATATAAAATCTTATACAATTTTTTACACAAAAGTGACATTGATATAATGAAATTAATATTTATTATTATTTATAGGTTTGGAGATTAGACTTGGTCATGGTAATATTATTTAAAGCCATCCCATTAGAGAGTACTGATGGTGAAAGGTTGGAAAAATCACCAGAATGTCTTCATCCAAATCTTTGTGTAAATCCGTACCACATTAATGTTTCTGTCCGTGAATTAGACTTATACTTGGCAAATTTTATACTCAGTCATGGTAAGCTTTAAATTATATAAAATATAATTTAAATTAATGTTTAAAATAACAAATTATGACATGGTATCAAGTCATTTGAAATTCTGCTGTTAGAAAATCTACAGTACTACAGAAACTTGCAACATTAGTAATTTCAGATAATGTCTTAAAATATTTGTCATAGATACTTAAAATATATACATATTGCATTTAACTAATATCCAAACATTAAATTAATTAATTACATTAACATAAATACCTTTAAATCATGTGATACTTGTTTTGAAGTTATGTTTTAAATTTAAAAAAACAAATAATATTTTTAATTAATATTCATTAAGAACAGCTAATTTAATTAATCAAACTTACAATAAAATTAACTAAAAAATACAATTTATTACAAATAATAAATTTATTTTCTCAAAATATGATAGGTAAGGCATATACCATAAATTTTAGTCCAAAAAAGAAAATTTAGTTTTATGCTGTTAAATTAATGATATTTTTATTAACTCAAATGATTTTTGATATTTCAAAATAACATCTTCAAGAAAACAACAAATGAATCAGAGTACATGAATTAGAACATATTTAAAAATTAAAAGTTTGTATGAATTTTTGTAAAAATACCAATTAGAAAAACAATTTTTTAAATAAATATCTATCAGCTAACAATTTCTGTCTATTAATTATTGATTTTAAAGAATTTGTTAATTATCTTAATTAATTTGTATAATACTGTATGTTGACTCTGTAATATATATTAAAAAATTATATATATTAGTTTTTTAATATATTTATTTATTTACAATGTAATAAAAGAAGTAAATTTAATTATGTTTGTGTTATATGAATAATAGCTTCAATAATATACTTAATAGTATATATTTGTATAAATTTTATTTTATAAAAGTTAGTTTTTTTACAATAATTACTTTTTATCATGATCTCTTAGTTCAGTAAAGGTGAAAGCTGTGCTTAGAACTATTTTTACTTTGAAGGCATGAAAAGTATCTAGTGCAGTACACATACTAATAATAGCACAATTCTGACATGTTTTAAGTGTTATTTACAGAAATAACTAAGAAATTTAACAATAAAAATATATTATTTTATTTTATATAAATATAAATTTTCACATTTTGGAAGATTACATATCTGATCTTTAAATAAATATGTATAGGCCTATATGTTTTAATTTATATATAACATTTTTTTAAACTTTAGTAACAAATTTTATTTTAATTTAAATTTTATTCTTATAATTTTAAAATACTTTTAAATTAAAATAATATATCAATTTATAATATTATTAGAATTTTTAGATTTGAAAGGTAGTTATTTTATTTGTTTAATGTACTTTGCAGAAACATTAAGTGGATCAAGAGATATATGCGATGAAGATAAAGAAGAAGAAAGGGGTAAGTTTTTATCATTTTATAAAATTAAAAGCTATATATTTCTTAATTATTATATTTAAGTGATACAAAATGCATATTTTCAAGATAAGTCAATAATTAAAAATATTAAGCCAAAAAGTGTATCACTTTCATTAGATATAATTACATTCAATACTAAAATTATATTTACAAAATTATAATAATTTTTTTATTTTTTATATAAACTGTCTTAAAACATTAAAAAATTTTGGATAAAAGTCTGAATTTAGTTTGTAAATAAATTCATTATTCATTTTATTGGTAATATTCATATTGTCACCATTGCAAAAGTGAATAATTATTCTCTCTTAATGTTATGTTACATTTATAAAATTTATTTATTTTAATGATTTTTATGAATAGAATAACTAATGACAATGATTTCTGAATACTAAATATGTTTATATGCTGTAATAATTTATTATGCTTGTTATCTTCATATTTATTTTTTATTAATTCACTTTCATTAAAATCACTTTTATCAAATTATTAATCTAATAAACAATAAAATATTTGAAATAAAATAAACAAATATTACAATAGATGAAATGATGTGATGTATTCATATTTCTTATTTTATACAATAAAATGAAAACAATAAGTAAATAAAACATAATATGTTGTTAATATTTTATTTTTATTTTTGTTTAGATTATTATAATTTTCTTAATTACTTCTTAAAATTAACTGATTCTTTTAACAATATGAATGTCTTGTTTTCTTTATTTAATAAAACTATAATAAAATACTGAAACCAAAATTTTAACCTTTTAACATCTAATGATATGTATTGTAGCAATTATTTTATAGTCCTGGTCTTTGATCCATTATTATATAATATAAAAGATGGTTAAGGCATTAAGTAATTTAACTTTTGAGTTGGATAAGTAACCATGACCTTGGGGATCAACACAAATCATCTCCTTTTGTAATTGTTTCTTCAATCGGCTAAGAGCCAATTCAATTTCTTGCCCCTTGGCTTCAGGCATATTATTTTGTTTGGGTCACATACAGTGTTGGCACATACAACAGGTCATTGATTCTACAGTGCTGGCATTGACACAACTCCATCACTAGTAGAGAGATTTACTGAGCAACTGATGAGAGTACCGTAGAGTTTTACCTGAAGTGGCAGTTTATACTTGCCAAAATTCATTTCTACTAACAAGATTCAAATTTATTATCATCTGTGAAGGAGTATAAAATGCAATTTATAAGATTAAATTTTATATTTGTGACATTTCTAATTTATTTTATTAAAAATAAAACTAAAAATATAAATGGTTAAATAATGTAGCTTAATATAAAATTATAAATGTAATTGTAATTTTTAATATAAGGATTCTTAAAATAAAATAAATAAAAAGTTTAAGTTTTTAAACTACATCATGATTATATTGTTTAGTCAAGGTCAGCAAGTTTTCATTTTAAAGAATGACTGAAAACATATATATACATATATACATACACACATAAATAATATTTATTTGTGTAATTAAATTTTGTTGAATTTGATAAAATGAATTGTATTATTATGATAAAAAATGTTAAAAATATATAAAAAAGAAAGTAAACTTGAAGTTTAACATGATTTAAGTTCATTTTTATTTTTATGGTTTATATATGTCCTTTAGAGACTAGGTAACTATGGAGACCTTGAAAAGTTGCATTGACAATGTCAGAAATTAAATGACGTAAACACAGTTATAGGAATAGATCTCTACATTCTTGTCCTTCCTGTTTGACTACTATTCAGATAAACATTTGTACTTTTATATATTTATTATTAATAAACAGAAGTTTGCATCATAATTTCATAATTTCAAACAATTTAGCTTTTTTTATTGTATTTTATCCTAAGTCCTAAATAATGGGATTCTATGAATATATCTTTAGAGAAAAATCTAATGATGTCTACCTTAAATTGCTTAATTTTATATTTTAAATTTCTTTATATGATATCAATTAAAATCTAATTTTTTAAAAATTATTCTTTATATGTATATTGCTTGATTTTCTTAGGCAAAATATACATTATATTTGAAGGTGAGAGTGACAGTTTGTTCACTTTTTAACTCATATTTGCATTTAAGTATTAAAAATAGCTCAAACTGAAAAAATTTTTATCAGCAAGATCAAAGTGTAATTTTAGATTAATTTTAATTTTTTTTTTTCTAATAAGACAAATAATTTGAGTTTTATAGAATATATCACATCTTTAATCTGATCTGTTAAGACAGATCTTCCATTTTTATTAAATGGCTTTCTCAAACAAATATTTCAGAATAATGAATGGAACATGAAAAATAACATCCCAGTAATAATCAATAATAAAATTTTTTAAAAAGATGAAAATTATTTTAAAATGTGTGTATGTAGTGTGTATGTATGTATATATATATATATATATGTATAATAATAATAATTTCAATTAGTTATGTAATTAAGGTATAAAATAAATCAAATAAATTTTAAAAAGCCATATTTATGAAATTATGGTTAGAGAATGCTCATTATTTTTTTAGAGTATTTGCTTTTTTTAATCTTAATAGAATTATAATCAAGGACAATTGTGATTTAAAATCGTTTTAACTAACTTATTAGATCATTTATTTGATTTATTTGCTTCTAAGAAGTTTTATTTAATTGTATAACTTGTAAGTAAGTAAAAATCTGTATTCTGATTTAAAATTTTGATAAAGCTGTTAAAGTATATAACTTCATAAAGAATTTTAAAATATTAAATTGTATTAAGTCATATCATTTTAAATGATTTATATAATTATTATAACGTCAAGATAAATATTGATATAGGATCATATTACTTTCCAAAATAAAATTTTGTTATACTAATTAAACTATAAGATATTATAATAAAATCTGCAATATATCAGTTTTAACCTTAAGCAAATAATACACTAACCAAATAATTGAAATGTAAATATATGTTATACATAACTAGTTCCAAGTTTACATAAAACATTTGAAAAAATTGTTTATATATGCATTATTTTAAATTTTTATTAACACACTAAAATTTTGATCAGCCTTTCTGAATTCTCAAAATTTTATTAGGATTTTTTGGCATGTTAAATTTCATCAGAAATTTATTTTCTTTCCTGGAAAGGCAAAAATTTTTTTATAGGAGACAACCCATAAAAAAACTCTGTGTCAGGGATAACTATTAAACAATTGCCACCTTCTGTATGTCTAACAAATTAATTTTACTACATACTAACATTTTCAGTCACTTTTGAATGTCTTCTATAGGCAATCTAGAACATAACTAGTAACAAAGAAAACAAAATAGAACGTTTACATATTAAAAATTATCATTTACAGAATTTAGGAAATAGATTGTCACATTCAAAAGTATTGTATTTTGCATTAAAGAACAAAATATCTGTATGAAGTGTATTAACAAAAAATGTAACCCATTGTTGTGCTGCTGATAAACTACCTTATAACAAATAAATATTATGAATTTATTCAGATATTTTGTTTCTTAAGGCAAGATACAATATTATTGAATGTAATGTTCTATTTTCTGTTTTATACGTGCTAATTTTTAAATATATAAATATTCTATTTTGTATTCTTTATTAGTTATTCTAGATTTCCTGAAGAAGGTCTTTAAAATAACTGAAACATAAGTATGTAGCAAAATTAGTTTGATGGACCTAAAGGTGTCAATTATTTAATATAATAAGTATCCAGTTTGTCATATATTGTTTAGACAAAATGACTTCTAAGCTAATAACTTTTAAGTAGTAATAATGTCTTATTTAACAGATAGCAATATTAATTATATAAATTAGATAGTAATTGCAAATTAAAAATTTTAGAGTGCTATATTTGATTTATTATGAAGTTAAATATATTCAATTAATTAATGTAGAATATAGATATACATCTGTAGATACAAGTAACTTTTCATATGAACTCTAAAGACCATAAATTCAACTAATATTGTTATAATGATGTTTTATAATGTATAAAACAGTTTAAAATTTAATATGTTGTGAAATATTAGATATTTAACATCTGACTTCATTTAAATCTATCAACACTCAAATTGTTTAAATACATTTTACTTTTTTATTAAATAAGATGCATTTGGAAAATATTGTCTCTAATCATCAGTCAACTTTAACCAAAACTTAATCATTACAGTAAGTTTCAGTTAAAACTTTAATAAGAATTAAATTAAATATATAAACTATAACCATAAAAGTTATATATCAGGTGATTGTAATTAAAGCCCTCCTGTTTACTGCTATTTAGCAGTCTAAATGCAACTAGCTCTGGTATGATGGCATTTCAGAATTTGCGGAAGACATTTCTGTAGAAAAATTTAGTATCAAAACTCACCACTATGGCACTTTTGGCACTTCAATACTATTAATTTATCTTTTTTGTAATTATTTTGGAATTGTTTTCAAAATAATTTAAATATTTACTAAGAATTTTAAAAATAATTGACAAGTGACTACTTGATAAGAAATTTGATCAGAAAAAAAAACAACGAAAACAATTTAAAGGTTTTTTTAATTGATTATTGTTCTTTTTTTTGAAAATTAATGAAAATTTCTTGCATTTGACAGTTTTTATTACAACTAAATTTGAGGTGAAATTATAATTTTTGGAGAATAATATGATTTAAAACAAATAATTAAAGCCTTAACAATAGAAAAGTCAATTTTATGAGTTGACTCCTATTGTAAGATATTTTATGAGGACATATGTAACAATTTTTCCTCCTTAAGAATTTCTTCCTATAGAATGACATTTATATATATATATATATTTTAATATCATCTTTAAGATATTTCATTTTAATATTTGTCATTATCTCTCCACTAAAGGACATATTATTATTTTTGAAACATAATAATAATATTACCATTTATCTATAATAATATAAATCTGAAATTAACATGCCTTAAAATCTTGTCTTACAAATATGACTTAACCAATTAATA